GTGGTTTCAGGAACAGCAGTTGTGTTGAAGCAGCATGTCAGGGAGACGCTGTGTATTTCAGTGCGAAAGCAAAAGCACTTTATTTGGCCTTCCGGAAGTAGATGCAATTAGGAATCATTGGTTAAGATTTATTTACAACAGAACAGCACAACCCCAAATGTTCGAATTTGTGCACGCATTTTATGGAACTGCGCTTGTCAAAGGAGGGGGCTTTGTTGAAAACGACGTGTTTGAGAGAGGCGGGAAATAGAGGACCTAAAATAATGTACAGTATTTGAAAAATAATGTGTTTTTTTGAACATTAAAGCATGTCAACATATTCTGTTACACCAAATAATGATCTTTAAAATAGCATCATATGACCCCTTTAAGACATTTTTTACTTCAAAAATGCAAATAGCTTTCGGCTAAAATCCAAAAAGCAATATTATCTGAATCAGGAGAGTAATGTGCATGGATCAAGCACTGTTTACAAGCAAAAACAGTCCAAAACAGATCTAAACACTTAAAAAACTTCTAAAGTGACTTTTTACAGGAGGAAATGTTATTATGGATTGTGGACTTTTGGCCAGAAGTGGTGATGTGTGAATTACTTGTGATGTTTTTATCAGCTGTTTGAACTCTCATTCTGACGGCACCCATTCACTACAGAGGATCCACTGGTGAGCAAAAATCTATATCTTGGATGGCATGAGGGTCATTAAATCAATCAATAAATTAAAAATAAATCTCAACATCAGTCCTTAACTGAAATGATACCGATATATTGTGAATCTGACCACATATATGTGATTACCACAATTCAAATGTACATAAATAGGTTAATGTTTGTTCACAGGTATGATGAGGGCGAGAGGAAATGGAACGGCATACTGAGAGAGATTCAATATGCATCTGGTGCAACAGTTCTGGGAGTTCGTCTTAACACTCTTCGGCTCACTAAAATGTGAGACCACACCAGTGAAGTACAAACTCTCTGCTGATTTTGAATCAGATATTATAGTGTGGGACAAAGTGAAACCAAGTCTGAACCAGCACGAAACATAAGAGGACAGAACATCTGTTCTCAAACTCATTCCATGAAAGTGATCAATTTGATATTCAACACACTTTAAGATTTGGAACGGTGAGAACATGCACAGATATTAGGCTGTGGAAATGCTGTTTCTGAACAATTTTATTATGGACAGAGCGTCTTGTGTCATGTGTACTTTTTAAAATGTATTGTTAATGTGACATTTCTGTTGTTCTGAGTGAGAGAAACCTCCCAAAGTAAAGTAAAAACACAAATGCTTGGTGTCACGTTTCATTTAGTTCACTATTGAAATTATTTTATTTTGTTTTATTACAGACAATAAATACTACCCAGTACAATAAATGACATAAAATACAGCCTCATTTTATTAGCACCGCTAGACTCTAGTCCTTGTATTGTTTAGTATCCTGCTGACAGAACCAGCATGAATGCCAAATGCATGTACACAAACTTAACTAAGACATATAGAATTAAATCGTAGGAACAGTCACACTCATGATTGGTTTAATACATTGAAAGTATGGGTAAGTTTAAGTATTACATGTTATGTACGTGTTTAGAAAATTTTTTTTTTGAATTTGGTTTCAAAATGTCTTTTCAGGATTGTGAGTGGTTTCTTTAAAATCTTAAAGACAATAAGAAAAACTACCCAAACTCTGAAGTGCAAATCATCTTTCACTATCACTTATTATTTATTACAAAGGATAGCACACACCAGAACAAACTGAAATAACAGACAAATCCTTCTTAATATAAATCTTACTTTCTTTCCAAAATCACTTAAATATACACATTTAAAAACAACAAAAAAACAAGAAGGCCACAAACATCCCAAATCTTTCTCAATAAGCAGCAACCTAGGAATACATGCTAATAAAGTATGCAAAATACAAAAAATAAGTTTTACAGACGTCCACCTTTTACTTTCCCTCACAACATGTAAGAGAAACATGTTCTTTCAGATGCACAAAATCAAATCATTCAGCTCTTCAATGGCCTTTTACTTACTACCATATTTTCAGAGATGGAGGTTTATTTACCTCTGTGCAATTTCACTTCACATAAAATATAAGACTTTAACAAAGAAAGAAAGCAAGAGAAATTAAGAAAAAAATGGGCATAACAAAAAGCCTTCAGCAGTATGTTTTTTTAACAAAACTTGTGTTGTACCACAATTTTAATATTTAAATAAAGTGAACACAAAAATGAAGTAAAAAAGGAATTCTGTGGTAACTCAACTTGTGATAAGACCATTATGCATCTTAGAAAATGCTTTGGGGGAAGTTTTTAATATTTAAAAATATATCGAAAAGAAAATCAGATGAAATGTGTTTAAATATATTAACAGGGCCTTTAAAAAACATGCATCCTCAGTGTTTTAGTATAAGGTGCAATATGACACTGAAAAACATGTAAAGAACACCAACAACAGGGTTCGATCCGTGGCAAAACCACAAAAAGGCTTGAACAATCATCATCTGGCAGAACATTATTGCAGGATTTCTACCAAATACAAAAAGTTCTCCTGGTGATGGTCTCTCTCTCTGCTCAGTTCACCATTAACTTCAATCAGGCCACCGTAATTTCATTCTACACATTCATGATCATGGCAACTCTATTCCATTACACACTCAAGGCAGGTTTGTTAGTGCCTCTACATTGAGCTGGTTATGACCGACAAACTGACTTTTAGTTACAGAGATGAACATATCGATCAATGCAGAATACAGACAATTACTGTGGGTCTTATTGCTTAAAAAATTACTGTTATGTCAGTTCAATCAGCTCTACTTTTTAATAATGATTCTAGAACTTCCACAATTACATTCCAACCTTAAAGGGATACTGTAGCCAAAAATGAAAATTTGCTCATCATTTACTTATGCAGCAACTTGAACATTCTGCTATTAATTATGGAAGCCTGTTTCCACCACAGAATAAAAGGATAAAAAAGGTTATTGCTTTTTAACTGCTTTTTATTCCATGGCAGAAATGCGTTTCCATAATTAATAGCAGTTTGTGAAGAAATAAATTAATATGAGTTTCATTCATCAATATGAGATAAGTAAATGGTAACAGAATTTACATTTTGGTGAACTATCCCTTTAATTGACTATTCTACCGGGACTTTCAAAAACTTCTTAAAGAAACACATACCATTTAAAAACACTTGCCATAACCTGCATTAAACTGAGTTTTCTTAACCCAGGAACATGACTGATGTACTGAGAACAATGTAAGGTAAGATTGAAGATGTAAGGTCAAATTTAGAGCTTATTCCTCATATATAAGCTTATTTCCATCTTGCAAGTTCTTTCATGAATGCTGACATCCACATCTCATCACATTCATTTGACTCTATAAAGAATGTAAACAAAGAAAACTGATTAAACAAAAACTGACAGGAAACATATAATTTATTTACAGACTATGTATATTTATACATATATATATATATATATATGTGTGTGTGTGTGTGGGTGTGTGTGTATATATATATATATATATATATTTAAATATATATATATATATTGGATAATACAGTACCTATTATAGTACTACATTTGACTGCTCCTAGAGTTGTTAGAGAGTTTTCTTGAACTATATTTTGCCTATATAATCCTCTGACACTGGGTAAGGATTTTTTTTCTTTTCTTACAAATTTTCTATAAACACTTTTTATATTCTATGTGGCCTCTTAACAGGACCATCTTACAGTGTACATGAGTCCCAAAAGGCCAGTCTAATAGTTTGCTACATAATTACATTTTAGGGCACAAAACAAAAACATGATTTTCATAATTTCGCTAATCAATTTTCCACAAGTAACCATTTTCCACAAGTTATGTCTGTCATTCAAACCCATCATAAAATAGTGTAAAGTGGAAAAAATAAGTGAAAGCATTAATGATTACTGATAAATTGATGTAAAAAAAAAAAAAGCTGATAAACCTGCTCGATGTACTAAAAAGCATTTCAGACATTCAACACAAAAATATTTTTTAACCAAACACACCCTGGTGTTCATCCAGAATTGATATAGCCTCTGTGCAAATAAAAAACACTCCTTTTCACACTCATTTCTTCACAAGTGGTTTAGGCCTTTCAGATTTTGCCATTACACATATGGCCAACACTGAGAGTAAAGTGCTCTGGACATTTTAAAATAATACAGAGAGAATGAAAAAAAAAAAGTGAAACATCCTTTGGGATTTTCTGAAAATAATAAGTTTCTTTAAAAAGCAGTTCACAAAAAAATTTTTAATTTGCAAAACATTTATACAGCCACAGGCCATCCAGGAAGCAAATGAGTTTGTTTCTTCATCTGAACAGATTTGAAGAAATTTTGCATTTCGTCCCTCGCTCACCAGTGGATCCTCTGCAGTGAATGGGTGCTGACAGAATGAGACTTCAATCAGCTGATAAAAATGTATTGTAAAGCGAAAAGCTGCATATTTGTAAGAAAAAAAAATTTATCAAGAGATTTTTTAACTTCAAATAGTTTTTGTCTGGCTAAAATATGAGTCCTCTATGCTTAATATTAATGTCTCCAGCAAAAACGCCATCTCACCTGAATCAGGAGAGAAATATGCACAGATTAAGTTAAAACAGTCCAAAAGAGGTCTAAACAAATATGTTGTTGGATTTAGTGTGTGAGGACAACAGGGAATGGACCTTTTCACTGGGGGAAGTATTATTATGGACTGGTATTTTGGCCAGAAGCAACAATTTAAAAGTTAAAAAGCTTTAATGATGGATTTCTTTTTTACAAACACACAGTTTTCACTTCAGAGGGCGTTAACTAATGGACTGCAATCATGTGGATTACTTGTGGATTACTGTGATATTTTTAACCAGCTGTTTGGATTGATGGCACCCATTTACTGCAGAGAACCCACTGGTGAGCAAGTGATGTAAAGCTAAATTTCTCCAAAACCAAATCATCTACATTTTGGATGGCCTGACTGAGAGTAAATTCTCAGCAAATTTAAATTTTTGGGTGAAGTACTCCTTTAAGCAAGCATCAAACATTGATTACTCTCAAGTGTCTCTGCTACATATAACCTTTGACACAAACCATTTGTCCCACCTGTGCCCTGCACAGACGCATCAAAAAACAAACCTCTGCAAACATGCAGAAGAACAAAGGTGGCAAAACTTTAAACTTTCAGGATACGAAGAAGACAGGACGATATAAATACATCTACGATTAAAAATAAGGTGCTGGAGTGATTATACATTTCATATTCAGTAAGAACATATAAGCTATCAGGATTTGGTTACTGCAATACATCTGGATTTGGTTATGGCAGAGGGACACAGCTGCTACATGTTTATTGGATGAAGAGCTGCTCCGAAACTACGCAATGCTCATATCCCACAGCGCCCTCTGCTGTGAGTTCAGTGCGTCTCTATATTTCATACGGCAGCTAATGAGAACCTCAACCTGTTAGACTAAACTGGCAAAGCGTTAAAGTCTATGGCAAGAGCATGTGAAATGCAGAAATGCGATACTAAATGCTAATCCTGTAGCTCACAAAAAATGCATTAAACAACAACAAAAATAATGAGAACATTTGTTTTCTTTCTGTAATACGAGGAGCTTATTTGAACAGTATATAAAATATCTCTATGAGATTAAGATAAGTGAAAATTTGCACAGTTTGAAAGGAATATTCAGTGTCACACACTGTTCAAACACCCGCTGGAAGTCTTAGACCTCACTCGGCATGTTTGGAAACTCCTATGAGAGTGATTCACATTGGATGTGAATCAAAAAGCTCATGGGGAGCTACTGCTAGCTTTGGGTGTCAGACAAGAAACAATCCAAATAACTTCAACCTTATATTCAAAACTAGTTGTTACCGGAGTTAACCCTTTCAGTGGAAAACAGGCCCGGGGGAGATGGAAGACCTACAATAGAGTGAACGAAGGGTAATGAGAGCGACTTGACCTGGTGGAGACTAGACGCCTCACCGGGAGGGGTTACAGGGTGGCTGGGTAACTGATTGGCCGGCGTGTCCATATCAGTTGACGTAGGGTCCAAGTCCACAAGGTTGGTGGAATCAGATACCATGGGGTTGCTGACCTGGAAGCACTTTTCCTTGTGGGCTTTAAGCATGTTGGAGAAGCGGAAACGTTGTCCGCAGACGCCACACGGGTACGGCTTCTCGCCAGTGTGAGTGCGGCGGTGCCGTTTCATGTTGGGCCGGCTCGTGAAGCTCTTTCCACAGATCTCACAGATATATGGTTTCTCTCCTGGAACAGACAGACAGATGGAAGAACTTGGATTGAGAATATATTAATTATATTTATTTGCTTTTTTTAAATGGTTAGTTCACCCAAAAACAAAAATTCTGTCATTAATCACTCACCCTCATGTCGTTTCAAACCTGTAAGACTCTTCATCTGTATTCATCTTCAGAACACAAATTAAGATAATTTTAATGAAATCTGAAAGCTTTCTGACCCTGCATAGACAGCAATGCAACTGACACATTCAAGGCCCAGAAAGGTTGTAAAGACATCGTTAAAATAGTCCATGTGGCATCAGTGGTTCAACTGTAATGTTGAATGTGTCAGTTGCACTGTTGTTTATACAGAGTCAGAAAGCTCTCAGATCTCATCAAAAATATCTTCATTTGTGTTCCGAAGATGAATGAAGGTCTTACAGGTTTGGCACGTTTGGAGTAATTAATGACAGAATTTTCACTTTTGGGTGAACTATCCCTTTAAACATTTTTATTTTTTTAATGATACACGATTAGTAGAAAAAATATTTAATTATTTATCATGATTAATTATTAGTATTTATTAATTATTATAATAATATTATATTAGATTTATTAAAAAATAATTAAATATGAACTACAAGTAAATAATATTATAATAATAAATATTTATTATATTTATATGAATTTATTATTATATCCTTTTTTTAATAATAAAAATAGTCATATTTTGATTATGATGGGCACCAAAGTAGTGATTCTCACCAGTGTGGGTCTTCATGTGTTCATCGAAGTACTGCTTCATGTTGAAGTCTTTCCCACACCACTGGCACATGAACTGCTTGTGTCCGATATGGATGCTCATATGTGACCTCAGCTGGTATTTGTACTGGAATCTTTCACTGCAGTTCTACAACATGAGCAACAGCATCAGATAAAGTAGATTATAATTTACATCTGTGTTCCTCTGCCAAGTCTTGGTACTAAATCGAATTGAATTTGGCATAACAACATTTCAACAAGTTAGAAATGATAAAACAATAAATGTTAGACAATTTTGGTCACTTTCTAGTCAAATGTTAGTGAAACATGTTCAAAAATATGGGCACAGGAAGATTTTTTTTTTCAAATAAATTATTTTTACTCAGCAAGAATGCATTAAATTGATTGACAGTAAAGTCATTTATAATGTTACAAACGATATCCATTTCAAATAATGTTGTTCTAATCTAGAAGATAAAAATGCAATACCTGAATCTCTCAGGCCTACGACTGATAATCCGCATGACTGAACTCACCTCACACTTGAAGGGCTTTTCTCCAGAGTGCTGAAGAGAGTGCACTTTAAGAGACATGCTGCGTTTGAAGGATTTCCCACACGTTTCACAAGTGAACGGCATGTCCTTAGTGTGAGCTGCGAGAAAATAAACAAAATTCATGTTTTAAAAATTACATCATATTGTTTGCCTCAGAAGGCTTTCATAGTAACAATTAAGTGATAATGAAATGTATTAAAACTTCATTTTAATCACATGCCTCAGTGTTCATTTTAAGGATAGCAAGAGTGTTAGCTTGACACGGTTTAGTGTATAATACATTATTGCTGCACATACTCAGTTGTCAGAGTCAGATGAGTTAGTGTAACTTGTTGCCCTGCGGACAACTGAGTGGGTTCTGGTATAAGGAAGCACTTCTAGATAAGATATTTCCTCTCTGCTCTCAGGGCAGATTAAACAATACAGACTCTGTCCTCGGCTCAGTCTGTTCTGGATGGTAAAGCAAGGTCACAGCGGCTCTTTTCCACTTCTCAAAACAGAGCTGGGTATTTCACTATTGTGTTGGACCAAGCTCTGGGAAGATCAAGCTTCAGGAGATGAAAGTACCATACAGTATGAGGGCCAGGGTGCGCTGTATTACATCTGCCTGAAGGTTAATTTACACAACAATATGTCTTTGTGCATATGACAGAGCTGCTGTATTTTGCAGCATTTTGATGTTAAAAGTGGATCCATGAGTTAATTTGTTAATGTAATGCACAATGTGGATGAAGATAAAGTTTAAAGGTGTGGCCTGTTGCCTGCAAAGGAGAGGATTGAGTTGAGACAGTTCATTCATAAGGGTTTTGTGAACTAGATAAACTCATTCATTGTAAAGATCTGACTAAAAAGAGTGATTCATTCAGTGAATGTAATTCTCTTCCTCACATAAATCTATGTAAGCCATTTTTGTCATTTAAAATCTTAAAGTAATAATTAATCCAAAAGTAAAAATGTACCTTTAGGCCATCCAAAATGTAGACGAGTTTGTTTCTTCATCAGAACAGATTTGGAGAAATTTAGTATTGCCTCATTTGTTCACCAATGGATCCTCTGAAGTGAATGGGTGCCATCAGAATGAGAGTCCAAAAAAACAGCTGATAAAAACATCACAATAATCCACATGAATCCAGCCCATCAATTAACAACTTGTGAAGTGAAAACCTGTGTGTTTGTAATAAACAAATCCATCTTTAAATTGTTTTGACTTTAAACTGTTGTTTTGGCCAAAGTCCACAAGTCCATAATTAATAATAACGCTTCCTCCAGTGAAAAAGTCCCCTGTTTTCCTCTTGCATCAACATCCACCAACATATTTGTTTAGAAATTTTGAGACTGTTTGTGCTTGTAAACATTGCTTGATCTGTGCATATGTCTCTCTTGATTCAGAAGAGAAGATTTTCTCACTGGAAAAAGCAATATTATGGTTTGAAGTAAAAAAATATATCTTAATATTGAATTTATTACAAACATGCACCTTTTTGTTTCATATAATTTTAATTGACGGACTTTAGTCGTGTGGATTACTTGTGGATTATTATGATGTTTTTGACGGCACCCATTCACTGGTCCATTGGTGAGCAAGTGATGTAAGGCTAAATTTATGCAAATCTGTTCTGATGAAGAAACAAACTTATCTACATGTTGGATGACCTGAGGGTGAGTACATTTTCAGCAAAATTTTCATTTTGGGGTGAACTATTCCTTTAATCACTTTCATGACACTGAAAAAGAATGTCTAGAATATTCTTTAAAAAAAAATCCCTTTTTGTGTTACTTCGAGGAGCAAGCCATACATGTTTGGAAAGACATAAAAGTGAGTAAATAATGACAACGTGACCCAGTACTCACCAACCATGTGTTTCCGGACATGTGCCATGGTGTAGAACTTCTTTTCACAGATTTCACAAGAGAACTTCTTCTCAGCATATCCGTGGACAATCTTGTTGTGTTCGTGTAAAGACCACAGCTTCTTAAAGGCTTTTCCACAAGTCACGCACTACAAAGATCAGAGGATCCGATTGAACGGCATTAGACTACACTGCTCTCCCTTTGGGGTCAATGGAAAACACAACAGGATTTTATCATTCTGAGAGAGTACTGAGAAATGCGTAAGCTAAATAAAGAATGAATATTGCAAAGGGCACCTCTAACTTAAAATTCATTTATATCAAATTAAGCACAACAGCACAATTGCCTTAATTACACTGAATTCCCTGTAAGTGCTTTATACAGCAGAGACAAATGAGTGTTGGATGGTTTAGACCTAGTTGGAGTTGGAGGTGGAAATGGAAATGGCCTGGCAGACCTGCTGTTCTCCACACCCTAATACAGTTTGTGCCTATATATCATCCCAAATCTCTGGTCTATCATTCTGCTCTGCAATATGCACTCATAGCAGAATACCAGAAGAGAATACACATAATCCAACTTTAAACATGGCAAAACGTGCTTTAAGAAGCTAAAGGTCTATACTATTTTTATAAGATGAAAACCGGTGCCCCGACAAATCGACAAGTTTATTATTATTTTCATATTCTGACCACTAACCTATGCATTTTTAAATCTAAAATAATACAATTTTGTCTAAATTAAATAAAAATAAATGAAAATGAATCATTTTAAAGACTACAGCTGAATTTGGATTCAATTTAAAATATGCTAAAAATTACATTTAACAGTGTTTTTTAAGATTAATATGAAGTGAACATTAGATGATGGTCTACAGCTACAAAGAGAGGAAATGGCAAATGAAACATCCAATATTTACAAATATATGCGATATTAACCAATGCTACTAAATTACAAAAATATATACAGTACTGTTCAAGTGTTTGTTGGCTGTGAGATTTTTTGATATTCTTCAGTTCAAAAGAACAGCGATTACCATATTTACAATATAAATATTTAATAACATTACAAATGTTCTTTTTGACAAATACAATGCATCCTGGCTGAATCAAAGGGTTTAAAAAAGCTGAATAGTATTAGTAATAAATATATATTCAATATTATTAGTTATAATTATATATTAATATTTTGAACCAGTTTTTATTTTTATTTATTTACATTTTATTTAAAAGTTTAGTAATTTTTTTGGTTTCTGTCATTTTTTTATATTGTTATATATAGTCTATATAGATTTTTTAAAATTCATTTTTAATTAAAATTCTTACATTTTAATTCTTTTTTTAAATAGTTTTATTGGCAACTAGCTGAAATTAGTTTTTAATATATTTTATTTAATTTCGGTTACATAATGGTTTTAATTGTAGTTTCAGTTTAATCTATCGATCTATAATAGCCTTGATTGGCATCAAAAGTATCATCTTATTGGTTCATTTCATTACAAATTATAACTTTGCAAATAATGAATGTCCCAGTTCTGTGGGCACAGATTTTGTGTGGGCCTACTTAAGAGATTTGTGTTTAATTTAGACTATTGTCACACTCCGTTTTGACAGCTGGGTCCAATTAAATTGTTGCTACCATCTGCTTTCCATGCATGTCTCTCTTTTTATTGTATAATTTTGAATCAATCACCAAGCAAACAAACCAATCCCTGACTTTGCTCCAAAGGCCTGTGTGAAATCAGCCTTATAGATTGACCTTGTGCTTGCAGACCAGTGTGTACCTGTATGTTTTTCTCACAGTTTGTCTGATGGTGTAGCAGCAACTCGCTCTCCAGTAAAAAGCGCTTGCCGCATTTATTGCAGATCTGCATGCGGTTGTGGGTGACGTTCATATGCTTCTCCAAGTACCAGCGGTTGTTAAAAATACGAGGGCACTTCTTGCAAGAAAAGTGCTGCTTTTCTTCCAGCTTCACCTTCTGCCCCAGACTCTCCCGCTCTTTACTCCTCTTCCTCTTCCTCCCCTCCCCTAGTGTAGAGTCAATTAGCGTCCGTCTCATGCCGATGGCGTCTGTTGGTATTCTCGTGGCACGCCGTCTTTCCACGCTAGTGCGCCCTGTTTCTGGAATGTCGAGATCATTCTCTTCTTCATCCTCATCGTCCTCGTCATTGCTGCAATTTTCCATCCCTTCCTTTCTGTGTTCATACTCTTCTTCTTCATCCTCACCAACATCTTCATTATCGTCTTGTTCCTTACCCTCCACCGCACTGGGAAGATTGGTGTGACGGTGAACGAGGAAGGATGAGGTACTTGAGGTGACGCCCTTGCCATCGGACCCTTTAGAAACATTCAAAGTCTGGTTATTGAGGTTGACCTCCACGATAATCTGCTCTCTGTTAAAGGAGACAGAACTATCCTGGGATCCCGCTTCATTTAGACCGGCTCCTCCCTCCATTGTGCATAAGCCCCGCCCTCCTCCGCTAGCCACTCCCCCTCCACTGTCATCTTTTTTGTAGAAGTGTTTGGCTTGAGGGCTGGAGTGGACGATAGATGAATGTGTCTGCGTAACTTCCCTACTGACCCCACTGTCAAGCAATGAGAATGTACCATTTCCTTGTTGTGTGTACATCTTCTCAAGCTCTTTCATCTTGTACATCTGATTGGACGAGGCAGTACCCTGCCCGTCTGTGTCTGCCATCTCATTGGACCCAAGTAGCTTGTGGCAGGAACTCATCTGGAGCACAATTGCCACTTGTAGGACTCCGAAGATGGAGATATGGATGATGTTGAGGATTTGGATACTTAGCAACTGAAAGGCCAGGTTTATGCAGTGCAGCGGTTGACTCTGGGAGAGGAGGGCCTGGAAGTAGGGGATGTGGTCACACAGCACGTCCTTGTGGGAGGAAACCAGCAAGAGGTCCACGTCGCACAAGTGAGGCTGGTAGAGATGCCTGTCCATTAAACGAGTAAAGTGCAGCACTGCATCCTCCAGCAGAAAGAACTCAGCAGCACTCCTCTCCACTGTGAGATAAGACAGGAGAAAATATGTATTCATTTTACTAATCATTAGCAAATTTACAAATTAACAGACTAATTATGTATATCCACTTTGAAAACAGAACAAGAATAAACATTTTAGCTGTTAACTAGATTTGCATTTCTACAATGAAGCACTTGCAAGGCTGTAAATGCAACAAGCAAAATTGTGTATGTTGCAATAATACGACATAACTATTTTAATGTGGTTTTATTTGCCCATTAACAGTCTGATTTACTGGACTGAACTCGTATATCTGATTCAATGGTTAATTTGTGTCACCACTACAAAACTGTCAATGTCATATTATTTATATACTATTATAATATTTATTAATATTTTGAATTAGTTTTATTTTTATATTTTCAGTTTTCATTTCAAAATTTTGTTTTAGTAATTTTGCTATGTGCTTTTGTCATTTTTATTTGATTTTTTTTTGCGCAAAGTTTTGTTTTTTATTTTTAAAGTAAGTTTGTCGATATTTAGATTTTATTTCAGTTTTATTTCAATTTATTTAAATATTTCAAATTATTAAAATTTTTAATAGCAATAACAACAATGGCTAATGTTCACTAAATCTTTAAGGTTTCACATAAGTAAAAATACAGGAAAATATGGCTGTTTATTATAATTGGTTATATTGGTAAATATAAGTATAAATGATTAAATTCCTTGTCTTCATTATTCAAAAACTATGGAAAATATGCTTGATTATTGTTAACTAGGTTGTTTAAACTACTGTTTTCTGTATTGTATTTGCTACATTAAACATTTTGTTTGTACTTGGTTTGATATTTGGTATCTACTTGTCAAAAATGTGGTTTGGTTTAAATTATGTTTCCTCCGATTTGAAATTATTCTTTAAAGCCATTTCAGAGCAATATATTGGTGTATATATAATTTATAGTTAAAAATAAGATAAAAATATATGTTTAGTTATAACACCACCCCTAGAAATAACTAATATTAACGTAACACTATAAAGGTTGACACAAACCATCAGAAAACGTAATAATACTTTTCTGCATAGACGTTTATTTTTTTCACAGCAGCCTTGAAAACAATATCAAACAATGCCCATCTGAGAGTGAGAAAAGCAGAAGCTACTGGAGCATGCCGCTATGCCCTCCCCTTCTGCTCCCAAGGTTGGCTTATTTTAGATCAGGAAGGACAAGGTTTCGATCTGGACAGCATCTCTTTAAAAACTCCAAAGAGGAAAAGGAATGGGACAGAGGGAGAGGCAGCAAGCGAAAAGAGAAAAGGACAAACCAAGTGAGAGGACAGAAAGAGAAGCATGTAAAAATCACATCGATATTCAGAGCTGTGCGTTAACCATTAACTTGCTGCTCCTGCATCATGTCTCTCTGAGTTATCATTATGCATAAGACAAAACACTGGCCAGTAAACAATTAAAGAGATTGGTTACGCTGACTTTTATGTGACTAACAACAAGCAGAATTAACAGTCTTACTTTTAATCTCCGTAAACAGGATAAGTTTCAGAAGCCAACTGATCTTGTTAAATATCACCCAAAATTACACAGAATTAACAGCATTTAAAACATAGTCATGTCCATCCTCATATGTACTCACTGTGACCATGCACAAATGTCTAAAATTATTCTGGAAAACTGCTGGCTGCATCAAACTGACATATATGTATTGCCTTTTGCAAGACAACACATTTTAAGAAAGCATTTAAACCTGGAAATATATTGTAATAATATCTATAAGATTAGATATGATTGACTGATGTAATTCCATATGCATGCTTTCTTCTGGAATATTTTGTGATGGTTTTTTTATATTCAGAGGTGGATTATCAATGTTCATTTATCCAAATGAACATTGCAGTTCATTTGGATAAATAAATACTTTAGTGCCACCAGGAATAATTGAAAAGCGATAAGGGGTTGTTTTTCCAAAACAATACCTAGTCAGCTGTATCAAATTCAAAACTGGCAACATGAAACATTTCTGAAAGACATTAAATTGGTTTGAGCGGTCACACAGCAGTTAGTGAGTGTGCACTTAGTGCATGTCGTCCTCTCTCTCTCCTCAAGAATTTTCTGTCACTCTACTACATCTGTGGAATAAAACAAGACACAATCCCCTAAAATAAACTGCTGTGAATATATATAAATGACAACAATATTGTCTTCAGTAGTTTCAAGCAATTTAGGCAAATATACAAACGGGAAGCACATTCATTTGCTCTCTCCGTTTGAAAATTGAGACTAGACGTAAAGATGAAATCTTGTTCACTGGCATCAATAAAAAAAAAAAGAGAGCATCAAAAGTCTTACTTTTGAACTTACTGCTGATCACAGACCAACCTATGATCGCACTCAACAGTCTCACAGTAGTTTGCCAGCTCACTAACACTCCTACAAGACCTTTGCCAAAACCTTGTTAAACAGACATGTTATTACCAGCAACATGGGTAGTGTAATGCTCCTCATTCTGGTTCATAAAGCTGAACTCATTGTAGCGCAGAAACTCGTACTGCTTTCACGTAATAAGAGGTGACTCAGGGCTGCTGGCTAGGCCGGCTGGTATGTACTTGGCCGAGGACGTTCACCACAGTGCCAGGCAGCAGAGAGCAGAGCGGTAGGGGAAGAGATCTACCCTCAGTTGACTTTCATTTTGCGGTCTTTACTGTACTGTTTACCACAACTCCCAAATAACTCCACTGTTTCTGCTGATAAGTCTTCAGAGAGATTTTAAATGCTCCTTTTTTTCCCCATTCAAAAATGGTGAGATGGAGAGCAAGAAAGACAATTCTGGAATTCTACTCAATGGCATTGTCAATGGACTTTCTTGTTTTCTCATCCAATTAAAACACATATCGCATAAGTAACTTTTTTAAAAGAAATTAATACATTTATTCAGTAAGTATGCATGAAATTGATCAAAAGTGTCAGTAAAGTCAATAATGTTACAAGGATTTATATTTCAAATAAATGCCAAGTTCTTTCATAAAACTGGTGCAGGCTGGGTTGTTAATGCAAACTGATTATATTCATAGCATTAAACTACTTGGCACAAGCTTATTGGTTCATGTTGTTTATGCAGCCAATGAGCTTACTGCTCTACATTTAAATGGCTGGTTAGCATCCACTAGAGCAGTTCAAAGTGCTCTGAAACCTTCACTGTCCCCAGCTCCACCTGTATAGATCTCCTATGGGTTATTATTAGGGCTGCTCCACTAATAGTCGACTAACCGTTAGTCGACCAGGAGAGGCTTGGCCGACCAAAATTTTATTAGTCGCAGAAAAAAAAATAGAATAGATGAATAAAAATCCACATTGGCCAAGTCCAAACATTCAAATGCTCGCATATCATTCATCGACCTCAAATATGGCTTATCATTTGAAATATGTAAGTAGCAACAACTTTATATGGGCGCTCAATCTAATGTTAACCTAGAAAAATGTGCGTTATTCATGTGTCTGTGTGGAGTGTGGAATCTGAACAGTAGTGCGTTCACTGCAGCACAGATGGAGGCGCCGGAGTGCTCACTTACTCCTAAAATACTCCCTCATTTTTGGTTATACAGATAAGGGTAATATATATTTAGAATATGTAAAGACTCTATGTTTATTTGTGTGTGCTCACAATAACAACAATATATTGCGCTTTTGTAAGATAATGAAAGCAAACAGGATGCGCTTTCTGCCGTCTCTGGAGCGCGATACTCAGAAAATCCGCGTATGCTTGCCTTACATACATAAAAATATATATCTATAGGGAGTGAAATGTCTACTTGCAAATAAACCAATTAAAATGGAAAACAGATATTCTCAGATTATGTCATTATGTCATCATTTGTACGAAACATGCTACCTGGTCTCATGGCAAAAATGTACCTGGGGGCACTTTTTCATGAGATGCGAAATATGTACCAATAAGTACATATCAGTGCAGTTTCCAAAAGAAATGAACACTAGAGGCAGTAAAACTGACACCTTTTATTCCTTTTCACACAAATTTACAGTTTCGATTAATAAAGCGTAATTTTCGCACAATTACTTGAAGAATATGACTTCAAAACTATTTTAATATGCTGAGAGATTGAAAACTGATGCTTTTGAATGTTAGCATCACACATATCTATCTTCATATCTATGGGTTTTCATAGACAGTAGGTTTGTTCAGTAGCTCACGGAGTACGGAGACGTACTTGAGAGGTGAGGAGCTCCGGTTCGAATCCCATGTAACTACGGTTCGACAAACCGGGTTTGGTGTAGGGCATATTTCCATCACGATAGAGCATTAACTTTTAGCAACAGTCCCAGAATATTTGAATTCTGAACCGCCGCAATACGTACCTGAAGCAACGTAATAAAAACACAGCAATACGTACCTATATCAACGTAATAAAAACGTGCCAGGGTTCACGTACTGAACCCATGTTTTAGCGCCACTCAGTGGACATTTATCTTTGAAACTGCGGCGAAACGTGCAGTAAGGTACGTAAAAACGGTGTTGCAAGGTAACTAATGCTTCAAATGACAATAACAATGCAGCCACTGTGAAGACCACTGACCAAACACTCAACAACTTTTGATGAATTGCTCACAATTTCAGCAACCCACCAAGATGTCATACTGCAATACAAACTCAACAAACCACAGCAACAAGCCACAGGAACTTTAAACGATACAGAATTAACTCATTATATTTGAAAACAAACAGTACTATTAATATTCTGATTCAAATTATTTAATGACAAAGTCATTTTTGACAAAAATAGCGTATCTGTGTCGGAAAAGACTGGTAACTTGACCCAAGCTAATCCAGCTAGCTTTTCTTTCTCTTGTTACCACAGACCTCAGAAAGTGAGGAGAGGAAGGCTGTTGCTGTCAGGCAGAAGACTGAAAGATGGAAATGCCAGCTCAGCGATCCTTTTCCCCCTTCAGCATTGTCCTAACAAGAGCTCAGGGTTGGAGGCTTGAGTGACACCCTCAAGAACCCAAACGGGC